TCTTTCCCACTTTGGACTGCGGCCCTTCTCGTGGCTGAGGTGTAGGTTTGATTCGCATTTCCCCAGGATCCAATCGTTCAGGTTTTGAAAACTCGTTTTTGCAGAGAGATCCATGCACACCTGGATAGAGCGCGGTGAAGAGGACCGAGAACGTGGCTGTTCTGGTGGGAGGGACAGCATGGGCAGAGGTCAGGAGCAGGACCAGGCGAGGTGTGGGAGGCTGGGGTTTGGGGTGAGGGTGCACAGTTCACCCTCTGCCCCAGCAGAACAGGAAGCCAGGGCCCCGGGCTGTGTGCCTGGAGGTGGCAGGGACACGAGCTGTGACGCTGACCTTCGGGGAGGGGGTGGTGGCCTGCCCACCCTCGCAGCCCCATTGCACAGGCCCCAGAGTCAGGCTGTGGAGAGGCTGTCTGGGCCTGTCCCAGTCCCCTTTGTCCTTGACCCCCGCGCCGGCCACTGGGGTAGGTGGGAGCCGGCCCTGGAGCCCCTACCATCCAAAGCGGTGGGGTGAGCCAATGCCGAGGGCGGATGTAAGGCACCCCCTGCTCCCACGCCAGCTGCTGCCCAGAACCGCCTGACTAACCGCCTCACTGGCCACTAGCAGCGCCGCCGCGCCGGCATCAGTATTCCAGGCACTCCAGCCTGGGCTGCTTGGAATTCCCAAGCCGTGCCACAGCCCGTGCCCACCGCAGTCCTGCCCTTCCGTTTCTCTCCCCCTCCCCCTTGCCTCGCCGTCTCTGTCCCCCTCTTCTCTCTCTCTCCACCTCTCTGCATCTTTCTCTCCCTCGTTCACTCTCTTTCTGTCTCTCCCCAGTCTCTCTCTGGACCAGCCGTCTGGCTGTCCCAGTTTTCTAGGACCTGGACTGGCATCGGGGAAGTCCTGAGCAGCCGGGACCAGGACTCCACCCTGCCTCCTGCCCCTGCCCCTGCCCCTGCCCCCGCCCCCGTAGCAGGCTCACTCTCCTGCACACCCCCCCATGCCAGCCCACCCAATGGCCACACCACCCCCAGCCAGGAGGTTAGCACGCTCCTCCCCACAGAGGGGACTTCTGGCTCTGTCAGACTTTGACCGAAGCAGTTCTTGAAGTCGGAATGTTCAGAAAGGCCATATTGTGCCCGGGGCGTGGGGACAGGTCCTGGGTGGTTCCTGCCCATGCCCTGGGTTGCCCTCCCTCTCCCAGTCCCGTTCCTGCCCTGGCTGAAGATCTGGCCCTTTGGGTGGGGAGTGGGGCGGGAGGTTTTCCAAGAGGCAGATGCCATCTTGGCTCCCAGCCCAGCTGCCTGCAGTGGGGCGCACCCTTCCCTTTGTGTCTCTGCTGGCAACAGCAGGGGTGGGACCTATCCTTGTCGGCTCTGGTACCATGCTGATGCCACCCAGAGCCAGGGTCGGCTCATAGGGCAGAGGGACAGGAGAATTCCAGAGACCCCAGGCCAGGGCTGCCACCCAGAACCTTGGGACTTCCCTTGCCTTGTGCTGTTGAGCGGACCTGGGTGTCCTGGCCGCACGTGCTCGTTGGCCCCCACCTCCCCGGGCTCCAGGCACTCACCGTAGCTGGCAGGTGTTTGCCAGGCCCCCACCATAGCTGGCGTGTGGCCCTGCCTTCGAGAGGCTCCACCAGAAAGCAGCCTGAGCTCAAGCGCGGCTCTGCCACTGGTCCCTGTGTGACGTCCGACACGCCTGCCTCTGAGCGTGGGTTTCCTCAGCTGTGTAACGGGATGGTGTAGGTTACTAGCCATGTGAGCAAGGTCACTCAAGGTCACGGCACGAAGCACACAGCACCGGGCAGCGAGCGTGAGTGCTCGGTGGACGGAGCTCCGTTCCTGGTCATCGCTACCGTCACCATCATGGGCACTGCCGTCCGGTGTGGGCAAGGTCTGGCCCAGCAGGAAAGGACAGGGAAGTGTGACAATGTGCAGTCAAGGTGCCGCTAGACCCAGAGGTTACCTCAGGGAAAGGGCGTGGGCACTGGCGCTGCAAGGACGCGCAGGAGTGGGTGAGTGGGACGAAGGCCTTCGAGGTAGTGAGACCAGCCTGAGCGAGGACGGGCTTAGGAGAGCCTAGGGTGTTTGTGGAGGGAGTGAGGAGGACTCAGGAGCTCCGAGTCTGTGGGGTCAGGCAGGGACAAGAGTCCATAGCCAGTCACCAGGACAGGGAGGAAGACGATTCTCCCACAAGGGGCAGTAGAGAGCCATTCTGTAACAGCGCGGTCCGGCCAGAGTGACGTCGCCTGCCCACGGGGACAGGAGCCGGTGCCCAGAGCAGACTCCAGATGACTCGTGGCTGTGTGTCTTCTTAACAGGCTTCCAGCAGGTGGCACCCGGGTGCCTTGAGGAAGAGGCACCGTTTCTAGTTTGCTGGGACTAGATGTGGATGCCCTGGGGTCCCTAGACCCCTGTCACACATCCCACCCGTGAGGGCCACCTCGCTGGGCGTGTCCCCACCCTCGTTGCTTTGTCAGGAGGTGAGGGAGGGCTGAGCACCAGGCCCACATTATCCCATGAGCCCACCCAGCACCCCCCGTGGCCCCTAGAAGGAAGGACACCAATATCAGGCGGCTGGTCTTACAGCCTCTTAGATCTGAAGACTGAGGCTCGGCAAAATCATCCCGCCCAAGATCACTTCCAGGTGGTTTTTCTGAAAGATAATCAAAATGTCTTCTGACAAATGAAAAATGTGACTTAAAACCAGCTTTAAACACGGGGTACACTCTGGACTCCTCATTACATAGTCGTCGTTGCTACAGGACAGCCCGCAGCGCACCCACAGGCCTCACTCAGCCAGTCCCCGCTGGCCAGACGGGCAGTTCACGCTGACTTCTGTAGTGACTGCTTGACTGTTCATCCTGGTGCGATTCCTTGTTTTTGTTTTAGTTTTTGCTATAGGGCACATGTACACGCAGGATGTGGGGGGCAATGGGGAAGCGCCCCCAAGGGGTCATCTCCCCAAGGGAGACGAACATGCCACAATCCCTTCTCCATTCTCCTCTTGGGATTTTGGGCACACACCCACGTGCCCATCGTATTCCTCAAACCAGTGGGTCCAGGACTTGAACCACACAGTGGATCGTGTGGGATCTCATACCTTAACCTCCATGACGCCTGCTGACCCCGTTCCAGTGTAATTCCAATTCACAGATGAGTTGGAGCATTAGAATAGACTCCTGTGTGCTACCCCAGAGTCACTGTTCAGTCTGCCACACCTGCTCACTCGCTCCCATTTCAGGAACTGGCTGACATCATGTGCCCTTACCCCTAAATATTCAGCACATTTCTAAGAACAGGAAATTTTACAGTGATACGACACTGCAGTGTAACCTGCCACCTACGTTCAGGTTACTCAGCTGTCCCAGTAATGTCCTCTACATATATAAAATGAGGTGTATACGGGACCAGCAGTTGGTGTAGTGGCTGTGTCCCTGGACTCCCATGTAGTTGACTGCGGTTCGAGTCCCAGACCCGGTGGCTTAAACTCACGTCAGGCACATGTGCATGCATGCCCAAGATCCCTAGAGGATAATGGAGAAGAAGGGATTGTGGCATGGCCATTCCCCGGGGGGTGGGGGGGTGATTTCTTGCTTTCTGTCTCTCTGTCTCTGTCTTTCTGGCAAGCGCATGCAAACTCTCCAAAAAATAAAAAATAAGGTATATAATTGCACTTTATAGTCATATCAGTTAGATATAGTCAGCTGCATATCCACAGATTCTGTGGCCTCAAATTCAGCCATTGCAGATGCTGCCAGGCCACATCAACTGCCATGAACTGGGGGCAGAGGTGGCTCCCTCAGAGACCTGAGGGGATTTCTAAGTTTTCCTTTGTATTTACATCTGAGGCTGAGACTACTTATAGGTAATGTAGAGACGATTTAAAGTACACTGGAGGTTATGTGTAAATGTGTAGGTTATGTGTAAATATGAAACTGTTAAATACAAAGGACTTGCGTGTCTGGCTTTTGGGCCCCATGGTGGGGGGGTGGTCCTAAAATGAATCCCCACAAGTACTAAAACAACTATATACTGTTTATATTCATACTTTTTTTTTTTTCTATCCAGGATCAGATTCAGGGATTTACTTATCATCTTTCAATTTGGGCCGTTCTTCTGGTTCTCTTTGTTTTGCAACTTTACTTTTTTTTTTTTTTTTTTTTTTGAGAGATGTTTTACTATAAGGCACATGCACTCGCCAGAGAGACAGAAAGAAAGAAATCACCCCCCAGGGAAATGGCCACACTGCAATCCTTTCTCCATTCTCCTCGGGATCTTGAGCACACACGCACACATGCCCAGTGTGAGTTTCAGGCTGCTGGGTTTGGGACTTGAACCACTATCGACTGCATAATCATTACACCTCTGTTGGTCCCACAGTTTTGACATTTTTAAAGGCCAGAGACTAGGTATTTTATATGGACTGTCTCAGCTTGGGCTTGCCTGGTATTTCCTCATGATTCGATTCTGTACTTTGGTGGGAATGTCACAGAAGGGATGCAATTTCCTTCTAGGGCGTTCTATCAGGAGCCACGTGTGGCCCGTGATTGGTGATGTTAACTGGCCATTTAAGGTGGCATCCACCAGGTATCTCTATTGCGAAGTGTCATTTTTCCTTTGCAATGAATAAGTACATTTAGAAGAGATACTTGGAGACTCAGTGAAGATCCTGTTAGTCGTCAGACGTTCGCCCGCTAGTTTTCGCATCCAGGACCGTCCTCTCCTGGGCCGTCACTGTGGTTGTCCCAGAATGGGTTGAGCCAGCCTCCTACCCGACTGTATATGTCCATCCAATCGCAGTAACCCCCCTCTCTGTCTTCCTGTGGCCCACAGCCAGTCCCACGGAGCCGAGGTCCTCACCGTCCCCACCCCCCAGCCCCACGGAGCCTGAGAAGAGCTCCCAGGAGCCCTTGAGCCTGTCGCTGGAAAGCAGCAAAGAGAACCAGCAGCCAGAAGGCCGCTCCGGCTCCTCCCTGGGTGGGAAGATGTGCTCGGGCAGCCAGGCCACAGGAGGCATCCAGGAGATCGTGGCCATGTCCCCCGAGCTGGACACCTACTCCATCACCAAGAGGGTTAAGGAGGTCCTCACCGACAACAACCTAGGTATGCGGGGCGGGACTCAGGGAGGCCGCCCCCTGCAGTGAGATCCCAGGTCCAGCTGGAGGTGCAAGGCACCTGACTGGCCTGCCTCTGGGACGGGACAGACAGTTATGTACGTGTCTCACGGTACCTGGAAGTCTCAGTCCACAGCCATCAAAACTCTCCAGGAAAACAGTGCATCCTAGTCACTCTGTGACAAGTGTGACCCTCACCCACACTCACATCATGTCCTCTGGGGAGAAAGCAACAGAGTGCACAAGGCTGTTCCCGGGTCTTTTCCCATTTAGGTCACAAACGCCTCTGAGTTTTAGATACAGGCGATGCCCCCTCCCAGAGGCATGCATGCCAACCCCCAATTTTTCACTAGTTTTATTTGTTCCTATTTAAAGGCATTAAACAGGCCGGCAGGTAGTTGGGACACTGGACTCCCACATGGCCGACCGTGGTTTGCATCAGACCCGGTAGCTTGAGAATCACACAGGGTGCACATACATGCACACCCAAAATCCCAGGAAGAAAAATAATGATCGTCATCGTCGTCATCCCAGGAGGAGAACGGAGAAGAAGGAATTGTGGCGTGGCCATCCCCTCTGGGGGGTGATTTCCCTCGCTCTCGCTCTCCTTCTCTCTTGTCTCTGGCAAGTGCACATGCCCTACAGCAAAAAAAAAAAAAAAACTAAAAATAAATAAATAACACAAAACAGTACAGAGAAAAGGCAAGTTTAAAAGTAAAATAAATAAATCCCCCAAGCCTCTCACCCTCCAGTTTTTATGAGTCTTTGACACTTCCTGAATACGAACAAGAATATACGCACATCTTATTTCCGCTCCCTGTTTATGTGGCGAAGTCATACACAGGTGTCTTACAACTAGCTTTTGAAAAATGATCACTCTTGTGCGGCTGCCCTTCCGCATTAGAATGATTATTTCCCCAGCATTTTATTTTCAAGGTGGCAAGGTGTTCCAAACCATGGATGCGCCATAGATTTTTACCCAAGTGATGGGTATTTTGGTTATAATTTTCTGCTGTCTCTGAAAATATGTCTGCATGCGTCTTGGGCAAAGTAGAGCTCAAGGATAAATCCAGGCAGTGGATGGCCGGATCAGAGGAGGTGTACATTTGCAATCTGATAAACCTGTCAGATTACCGTTGAACAAAGTGATACGCAGGACGTTTGCAGCCAGTTTCAGGAGTGCAGAACCCTAGGAGCAAAGAAGCTCAAGGTGGATAATCTTATCAATAGTTCCACCCCCACCCCCACCCCAGTCCCTGTTGTCGAAAGATCTCCATCAGAGTCACACTGGACGCGGGATTCCTCCAGGTCTCTGGCCCTGCCTGGTGCAGACGGCCCCTGGGCTCCCCACTGTGTCCTGGGGTAACAGGCTGCCTTCCTCCCCGCTCCCCAGGGCAGCGGCTGTTTGGGGAGAGCATCCTGGGCCTGACCCAGGGCTCCGTGTCCGACCTGCTATCCCGACCCAAACCCTGGCACAAGCTGAGTCTAAAGGGACGAGAGCCGTTTGTCCGCATGCAGCTGTGGCTCAATGACCCCCATAATGTGGAGAAGCTGAGGGACATGAAGAAGCTGGAGAAGAAAGGTAAGAGGGGCAGGGGATGGCTCACAGCACTGGGTGCCCCAGGTCTGGCCTGATTGCCACCCCAGGGACCATATCTCAGTGGAATCCCAACACACTCAGGGCCCAGGGGTCCAGTCTCAGCCTGGGAGGGGAAGCATGAAATAACAGTCCCAAAGAACAATATCATTGAAAGCAGTTGGAACCAGCAGTTAGTGTAATGGCTATGTCACTGGACTCCCATGTAGTAGACCACAGTTTGAGTCTTGGACTCAGTGGCTTAAACTCACATCGGGCATGTGTGCGTGCATGCCCAAGATCCCGGGAGGAGAATGGAGGAGAAGGGATTGTAGCGTGGCCATCCCCCCTGGGGGGTGATTTCTCGCTTTCTGTCTCTTTGTCTCTCTCTGTCTTTCTGGCAAGCACACACGCCCTATAGCAAAAACCTCTCTCAAAAAAAAAAAAGAAAAGAAAGCAGTTAAACTCCTTACTGCATTTCCCGTGAAAACCCAGTACCCCAACACTTTTGGAACCTTTCACGTGCCCAAATCTGCTCTAGTCTTTTGCCGACCCCGCCGACCTCACTCCCAAACACTCCCTTCAGCTCAAGTAGATCACCCCTTTGCCCATCACCCAGATTCTGCCCAGCAAAGGCCAGAAGTGACCCAGCAAACCAGAACCCTCCCCGTCGGGTCACGCATCTGTGCACCATCTGATATGACCCTGCACCCCCGATAGGATGGGCCAGCGCCAAGCCGGGGGCCCAGTCTCATGCTCTGCAGAGGGCTTCCTGTGTCTAAAAATGCACAAAGTCCAGTTGAGAGATAAGATAGGAATAAGTGAAAGTGGTCATCTGGGGCGTGGGGACAGTTCATGTGAGGACCTGGGGTCAGGCTGTGAGGAACACGTGGGGCAGGGCCCAGCCTGGGCCGTTGTTATCAGATGACCGCGGTCAGGACCTTGGCCGGCCACTTCTTGGCTGTGTGACCTCAGGCGGGCTACTCCCCCTCTCTGTGCCTCGTGGAGCTCCGTCTGGAAATGAGGGTCAGTAGCATCCACCAGGGCATTGCTGTGAGGACTGAGGCCTTCATGCCTCACCTCTTCCACCCCGACGTGGGCTTTTACGTTTTCACGTTGCGACAGCGTGGAGTCGAGGCAGCCGGGTCATTTAAATTACGGCTGCCTCAGACTGCTGTCAAGTGTCGGAACGCGTCTGCCTGCTAAGCCCCTGCCCATGTGGACACTCAGGGAAAACGTGAGCAGATGAGCGGGCAAGGCGCAGGCTCCCTGGGCCGGTGCGGGCAGGCCAGTGCCTCCCGAGGAGGGGAAGGCAGTCAGGATGGGCAGGCGGCCCCTGGCTTGGCCTGGAGGCCCCAGGCGGCTGGCTGCTGCACCCTGCAC